CGCTGTCCGCGCAGTCTGGGGGGCAGCCAGCGCAGCCGACAGCGCGCAGCGCAGCCGGGGGGCTGACCCAGGAACCAGATCGGGAGCCTTGAGACGGGGGTCAATGCAAACGGGGGTCAGCCACGGCGCCGGATCCTGCAGGATCCTGCAAAGACCCCCTCTGGCTGACCCGGGTTAGGGAGCCGTTCGTGGCCGCGAGGCGGCCGCGCCTATTGGCTGACCCGGGTTTGCGAGGACCTGCGTTGCAGTTTTTTTTTCCTGCATTGCAGTTTTTGGTTTCCTGCTGACCCGGGTCTGGATTGACCCGGGTCAGAAGATCCCCGACCAGAGGTGAGCCAGCTAGCAGTGCTGCTAGTGCAGGGGGTATCTCCCCCGCCAGATAGCAGAGAGGAGCGCGTAGAAAACGAGATAAGGACGGGCCCCTACAGACGGGGCAACCTAGACAGCCGAGCGAGTAGAGGGGGGGGGCGCGTGCACGAGCTACACAGACAAGCGCTGGCATAAAGAGCGAGAAGGAGGGGGACATGCGCAACCTTCTTTCGGTCGCGCGCGGAGTGGGGGGAGGGGGGCAGCCGTTGCAAGTTCAAACAGTATTGGGTGGAGAAATTCACTGAAGTGTGTCCACCACGTACTTGCAAGCTACGACTCCGACTTGCCGGCAACCGAGCTTTGGGGGGCGGATCAGAAGGGGGCTGCGACGGCAAGGGCAGAGGTGCCTAGCCGGCGCGGCACAAGGCCAAAGGCGCGCAGTGGTCCGCCAAAGGGCAAACAGGATTCCGCAATTTCGTCGGCGCGGCAACGAACGTGCACTGGTAGGAGGGAAAGCCGACCGCGGATCAGCTCGCTCATCTGAACGGCATCGAGCGCACCGAGAAGGCGGTCGAGCTGGCAGCAAAACGCGACGCCGTCGTCAATCAGCAGCAAGTGCATCAATTTTGACCCTCGTTTCGCAGACGGAGAATCTGGAGCACTTGCCGAGAACGCTGAAGGCCCAGAGGGGCGGGCCCATCTCGCCGCCGGCGCCGATTGCAGTCTCGCGCGCTGGTCTCGGGGCCAGCTCGTCGAGAGCCCTGCGGGAGCAGGTCGACATCGGGGGCGCACTCTTCGCGCGCCTGAGCAAAACGCGCGCGCCGCTACAAGCCGCGGGGGGGCGGAATGCGGCTCGCGGGCCCCGGGCAGACCCAAGGGAGAAGGAGGCGGAGTGCGAGGGGGACTGTGGAAACAGGTGCCAGACATATTAAAGCCTTGGGCGCAATGCCTTGATGTCTGGCCACGCTTCGCGTCGCCGCCACAGATGGCAAGGGCCCAACGGGCGCCCAGAGAAACGACAGGGGCAGAGACCCGGACGCGGGACAGAGGCAATTCATCACCAGTAGCTGCATCGGCTCAATTTGGAGAGGACCGCGACAAGCCACGCCGCCAACCGAACCGAGACTTAAAGGTGAGGGTGTCGACCAGGCGGCCGGCGCGGGTCACGCGCCAGAGCTTCGCAACGATTATGCGCCCGCAAGTGGGCGAGATAAGCGAGTTATTGTGCGAGGTGCAGGCACGGGAGCTCAACGTCACCTGCGCGCTGGCCAGGGCGCCAGCGCACAGGGCCAGCCCTTCAACGAGCGCAGAACGGAGAAGCGCGAACACCATGACGCTACAGCTCCACACTGAAGGCCAAGGGCCTCGCGCTGGAGGAGCGCCTCCACGAGTGGTGGTGCGGCGGAGGGCATCGAACAGAAGAGGGGGGCGCGCGCTGCCACTTGGGGTCCAGCGGGCGAAATGACGCGGGGGCGCGCGGATGGGAGACGAAGGAGCCGTCGAAGTGCATCTCGCTCGAGCTCTGGGAAGCGCTCGACTCGAGGGGCGAAGAAACGTGGAAGCCCTTTCAGAGGGCGCGCCTGGAGCAGGAGGGCGAGGGGGACATCCAGATTGCGAACGTCAAGAAGACGACGCAAGCGCGCTACGCGCTGGGTCCCAAGCGTATAACGCGCCAGCAGGTGGCGGAATCGATCAGCCAGCACGAGGCCAGGCGAACGAGGGGGACGGCAAGAGCACGGGACGTGGCACGCCGCGCGCGCAGCTACAACCATCAACAAGGGGCTCAAGAGAAAACTAGATTGGCGGCGATAACGACAAACAGGAGACGGAGTTGAATGATGGCGACTTCTCCATTTTCAAGACAGGTGAGGGCGAGGGCAAGGGCGAGCAGTGGGAGGGCGAGACAGCGCTGCCAAGACGCTGCAGCAAGAGAGAGAGAGAGAGAGAAAAAGAGATAGAGAGAGAGAGAGAGAGAAAAAAACATAAAGAAAGACACCAAGAAAAAGTGATAAAGAGAGAGAGAGAGAGAGGGAGAGGGTTGGCTATGCCATTCTGGTCGCAGCTGGCGAACAACGCAGAGCTTCGCCAACCGTTACCGCTAACGCCGCAACTACGACGGGACGTAGCGCGCGAGGGAGGAGAAGGGGGCGGAAGAAAGTGGCAAGCTCGAGGGGAGCATCATTGATCGGGGCAACAATGGGGGCGCGACCGGCGGGCACAACCAGGAGGAAAAGCATGACAACTGAAACAGGATATCAACAGACTGCTACAACGGCAACTGCATCGAACCCGCCGTCCTGAGAGCGGGCTACCGCAAAGGACCTCTGGAGAGCCTCTGGGGCCCCAGTCGGGCCAACTGGACTCCCTGAGCCCTCGGACCCCCTTCCCAAGAAAACTCAACATCAACCGTGTGGCTGTGGAGGTCAAGAGTTGCGGTCTGGTTCTACCTAAAAGAACCGCGAACCAAACACACAGTAGAGATCGTGTCGGGCCTCGTAGATGAGTTGAGACAGCGCCTGCTCCAGAGGGGGCGATCAACCATCGCGAGGGCGGAAGGGGGCGCAACTCTGGGCGTTGGATACGACAGAACGGATACGTAGCGAACAAAGACCCATGTGGCCTACATATGAAGAAGGCTGCAGGAACAGCGGCGAAACTGATGGGATCTCAAAGAATCACGCACTCGGCGCAGATGGATCCGAGGATTTCGGCGTCATAGAAAACCCAACTTTTGCAGTCTCAGGCATAATTGCTCAACAGGCCCCTGGGCAAGCGAGCCGAGGTATCAGTAAACATCACACTTGTAGGAGAAGACATCACAGACTGGCCAGTTCGACAGGGCTGAGAGGAGCGCAGTGTCTCCGACACCTTGTACGGATCGGATAACACAGGTCGCTTCGACTGGCAGGGGGCGGGGAGGGCAATGTATCCGTCTTCCCGTACAGAGCGGAGAACGCATGACGCCTCTGCTACTCTGCTGCCATGCCATGGAAAAAGGGGGAATCGTGCATCCATTTTCCTGTACGGAACGAAGAGCTCAGGCTGCCGCGGCCGCCGCCGTCAGGAAACATAGAACTTACAGAGCAGAAGAGGTCGGCCGCCTCGCGATGGGTTGTTGCCGCTACCGACCCATGGCCAGATGGCTAACAACCTGTTGTGCCAGCCGCTTCGACGCCCAGGAAGCGGAGTGAGCAGGTAGTCGAATGTAAGGAAGTAGTCATACGTTTGTATAGTGTGAGTTGCTGTCCCCTGTTGCTCGGGTCTCGGCTCACGCGTCGGCGTGTCCGTCCGCCGACGCTTCGGCGGCCCAGCTTCTTGCCCCGCCGTTCCAGGCGAGCAAGCCATCATATGGAGTGTTGGTATCGCATCCGCTTTATGATACGCAGTGTTAGCTGTCTGCTCCTAGCCTGCAGAAGTTGAGACCCCGAACGCTTTTACCTTACCTCCTCCGTTTTCCTGTTCGCGTTCATCATCGGCCTCCTCCTCCTCTTCGGTTTCCTCCTCCTCCTCCCCGGTCTCCTCGGCCTCCTCCTCCTCGTCCTCTTGTTCCTCTTCCTCTTCCTCCTCCTCCTCGCCCCACTCTTCCATTATGTTCCTTATCACTCCTCCCTGTCGCACCCTGAGGCCAGTCGGAAGGGCGGGCCAGGCGTTTCGCTTGAGAGTGCCTTACCGTTTTATGAGCATGAAATGTATAGATTGACAGAAGTTGCACAGATGGAGAGCGGATGGTTTTAAAATGTGGCCCTCGCTTTAGCGCCGCGCACATCCGTTGCACTCATTCGGAAGAGCTTGACAGATCCAGGGCGGTTCGTTTTTAACATGTTGTTCTTGCCTGAACGCCGCGCGCATTCGTTTCAGAATGGTTGCAAGACCTTCACGGCTTGAGGGCGGGACATTTTCCAAACGTGGTCCTCACAGTATGCCCGCGCGCACTCATGGAAAACAATTGCAAGAGCTTCACGGATTGAGGGCGGATAGTTTTCACAATCTTGTTCTTGCAGAAACATTGCGCGCATTCGTATAGAAATGCAGCGGTTCCACGGATTGAGGGCGGGTGGTTTTCAAATGCAAGAGCTTCACGGATTGAGGGCGATTCGTTTTCGACATGCGGTTCTCGCTTTCACGCCGTGCGCATGCGCAAGGTTAACGTACCACAAACAACGTGTTGGAACGATTCAGACTTGTTTGGGCGCAATAGTTACGCTGATTCGCGGTGTTGAAGTTCCCGGAATGGTGTTCTGGCCCGAGTCAGGATCACCAAGACGCAACAGCCAGGTTGACTCGTGGAGCTGAAGTCCTGGGAGAGGTGTTCAGGTGAGCTTCAGGATGTTCACACGTTTGTCCCCCGACCGGGCAATTCCTTTAGTTGAAATGAACCTGTGTAGAGGCCCATGAAGAGGGAATTCGGAGGGCGGATGTATTCCAACATTGTTGGTGAGTCTTTGGTTTACGCTGGTCCTTGTCCTCCTCGTCCTCCGCCTCCTCCTCATCATCCTCTCCCTCCGTTCCAGTGGCCCCGAAGCAGGCGAGGGGCTGGGGCAGGCGTGAGCAACACAGGGGCTGGTCAAGGTGCTGTTCCATCGGCCCCGGGCGGCCTTTGCGAGGGTCGATGCGCGCGCGCGCGCGGCGGCCGCCGCGCGGTCGTTCTCGCCCCTTGCTGTCTCGGGCCAGCGGGGCGGGGCGGGGGCCAGGCGGCGCCTGGACCAGCATAGAGCGTAGCGGCTCTCCGCTGCAAGTTCGGGCGCCTGCCAAGGCCAAGGCTCCCCCCCCCCGCCTTTTCCGCCATGGGGGCGCGAGGGCAGGGGGGGAGGCGGGGAAGCGGGGAAGGGGCAACGGTAAACAGCCGGCAGGATGCGAAGGCGCAAGCGCAGGAGGCGTAGGAGGCGTTGGAGGAGGAGAAGGATGAGGAGGAGGAGGAGGAGGAGGAGGAGGAGGAAGAGGAGGAGGAGGAGGAGGAGGAAGAGGAGGAGGAGAGGGGGGAGGAGGACAAAGAGGAGGACAAAGAGTTGGCGGAGGAGGAGGAGGAGGAGGAGGAGGAGGAGGAGCAGATGGGGGGCGGTTGATGGGGCGAGGAGGCGTGGGCGCAGAAAACGGGGCGCAAGCGTAGACGTAGGAGAAGAAGGATGAGCATGGGCGGGATGACGGGGGGCAGGCGAAAGGGTAGGCGTGGGAGACAGGAGGAAAGGAGGGAGGAGGGGAGGGCCGAGGGAGGGAAGGAGAGGCAGCAGGCTCCGGAACAGCAGCAGCAGGAATGGCAGCTACTGCAGCGGCGGAAGATGCAGAAGGACACTTGAGGGATACACCCCGCACTGGCGGACCCGCACTTGCAATATTCTCGTTTTTCGTTGCCATCAAGTCCATGATCGACTTTATCTTGCACATCCTCCCCCTCCTCCTCCTTCTCTCTGCACCTCCTCCTACCCACCTTCTCATCCCACTGGTAATTCTCCTCTTCCGCCTTCTCCTCTTCTCCACCCACCCCTGCTGTTGCTCCTGTAGCAACGTGTAAAAGTGTGCAATGCTGAATGTTTCCGCTCTGGCCGCAACTGTCTGTGCTCAAGCGGTTTTCGAGGCGGCGGATGGGAGATTTCGGCTGGGCCTTTTCTGCCTATAAGTCCCTGGCCCCGGCGCCAAGCTTCATGGTGGCGTGAAGGAGGCGGTCGGCGTCTGCCCCTGTGCTCTGGCGCTCTCGAGCGCCGCCATCGCCTGCTTCGGCTCCCAGGACATCTGGGGAGCTTTTGTGCCCCTCGGGCTGACCGTGACGGCAGCGGTCCTGGCTGGCGGGCTGGTCGCTCTGCTGATGCTGGTGGCGCAGGCGGTGTGCCGTTCTTGCTACGTGACGTGCCAGCTGGTGCTGGCGTGTGCCTTCGCGCTCAGACAGACGAGCCTTCAGATGGCCCTCGATCGGCTGGTGCAGGCGCCTTTGGAGAGCGGCCACAGGTCGATCGACATGATGCGCGTGGCTCCGAAGAGGCGCAGGTCCTTCGAGGGGCTGAAGCCTGGGAATGCGGTCTGCGTCAGCTACGGGGTGGACGGGGAACCATATGATCGCCTGATCCTCGCAGTCGTGGACCACTGCTGCTACAGCATCTGGGACATCTACGCGGAGACCATCGGCCTGGAGTTCTTCGGGGACTTCAGAGAGGGTGGCCCCCGAGGGGGGCTGCCCGCTGGGCTGGGCGCAGCGCGCGGCCAGCCCGTGTACCGCTTCTCGACGAAGCCCGTCGGGCAGGAGCTGCAGGACTTGTTCGAGCAGGGCCGCGCCAAGGCGGCCGTGGAGAGCAGCATGATGGGCATCCTGGAGGACGTGCCGGGGCCGCCGCCAGCGTTGGCGGGGACCGGCGCGAGCGCGGCTCCCCCTCTGCCTCCCCCAGCTGGATCGCGTCCTGCTGGGTCAAGCTCGGAGCTCGTCAAGTGGGTGTGTGTGGCGCTGTCGGCGCAGGAGTACGTGGGCAACACCTTCATGCTCGCGGCGCAGCACCACATCCCGTCGGACAGCTTCGTGGGCAACGGCTCGGTGGACCTGTATGACAGGGGCCTGCGAGGCGACCCCGCGGTGCTGTATCGCGTGGAGGTTGGGGAGCAGGAGAGTGAGGTGATCGAGCTGTTCAGGCGCCGGACGAAGAGGAACAGCGACGTGGAGGGCACGGACACTCCGCTGGTGCGGGCGCCAGGAACGCCGAGCTCCGAGGACGCGCGCACCCTGCCGGTGCTGCGCGACAGCGCGGGACGGCGCTTCGAGAACATGAAGAGTGTGGCGAACAGCTCGGAGATGTGTGGCTTTGATGATTGGGTGCTGGAAGGGCCGCGCTCGGTTTTGGACCTGGTGAAGGAGATAGCTGGACAGGCGGCTGGCCCCTTCAAGCGCCTCTCGACCTGGAAGCACGAGAACGAGCTGCAGGATGTCGAGCTCAACGCGGTGACGCATGGGATGCTCTCGGAGATCATTGAGCTGGCGACCGCTCTCGTTTAGCTCGACGTGTCGGACTTGGCGGGCATGGGGAGCCTGTGCCTCCACTCCCGGCACACCAAGCAGCGGATCAAGAAGAAGCAGGAGGCCGGGAAGGACTTCGACCTGCAGGGCTACTACCTGGGCAGGGCGTGGCGCACGGGAGGTGCGTGGAAGGCCCCGGAGCTTCAGAAGTGGGTGGCCGAGTGGGCTGCCCGCGAATCGTCCATCTTGAAGGAAGAGAAGGAGGCTGCCGAGGAGCGTACGCTTGCGTGCGCTCCTAAGAGGTCATGATGGACTCAGGATCCGGGGGCTGGCCGTCCCGGGTCGTAGATTCAGGCCGCACTATGGAGAGGGCGGTGCCTCGGGATCTGTTCCCTTTGCCCGAGGTCACCTATAGCTCTCCTGAACAGCGCCGAGGTCCTCGCCGTGCTGCTCAGCGTCTGGGCAGGAAGGCGGCCATCGGCCGACGCTCGAACAACTGCATCGCCGCCCTCAACAACCTGCACGGGGACGGCTCTTTTTTGCTTGGAGGAAGACCCTCGCAGGCACAGTCTTCGGCGCTTGACGGCATCCTGCGCGCGGTCACTGACGACAGGCCGCCGGGCCCGTTGCCCGCCCCCGAGGCAGCCCTTCAGGAGTTGCTCGGTACCGAGGCCCTCGACTACGGGTCCGAGGACCTCTCCGTGGTTGCGCCGTATGATCGCGGCTTGGTCTCTGGCCGGACACCGCAGGTTCGGTTGACTTGCTGGACGTGTTGCCAGACCCTGACCGCCAGGAGGTGATCGACGGTCCCCGTGCGCTTTTGCTTCGGGCTGAGGAGGAGCCGCCAGCGGCCTGCAAGGTCTACTGGGACAAGACGCTCAAGGCGGACAGAGGCGAGTACACCAGGTTCGTGCAGGACCTGCTGAACAGGGGCATGGTGGAGCTCCGTACTCGCCGTGAATTTGATGTGAGTTCTCGATTCAGGACATCGCCGATTGCTTTTACCAGTTCAAGGCCCCGGACTACATGGTGCCGCGGTTCGGGACGAGGCCCGTCAGGGCCGGCGAGGTGGGAGCCAAGACCGTGCAGGGCGAGCCTGTGCTCGCGGGCGCCTGGGTCTACCCATGTCTGCGGGTGCTGCCCATGGGTTTCTCGTGGGCCACGAGATGGACGCAGCAGGCGCATCGAGAGCTGCTGCGGCGGGCAGGGCTTGGAGGCATCGAGAGCGAGCTGGTGGGCCGCCAGGTGCCCCCGACGGCCTCGGCTACGCCTGTTCCCCGCATCGTGTACGTGGACAATGAGGTTTTCGTCTTGTCTCGACCCGGTGCCTCTGCCGACGCCAGGCAGCAGGCGGCCGAGAAGATGTCCAGCGTCGGGCTGCCGCTGCACGAGGTGGAGGAGGGCAAGCATGTCGTCGAGGCGCTGGGCCTGGAGCTGGATGGCATCAAGCTCCGGTGCCGCCTGGCTTCCTCCAAGCGGTGGCGGCTGGTGCAGGGCACGCGTGCGCTGCTGCGGCGGCGGCTGGTGGCTGGCAGGGCGTCGAGAAGCTGATCGGCCATTTTACGCATGCCATGCTGCTGAACCGCCCGGCGCTTTGTATCTTCCGCGCCGCTTACGACTTCGCTCGGCGGCATTGCCGGGCGCCCAGCCTGCTCTGGCCTTCTGTGAGGCAGGAGCTGCAGAACGCCATGCACATCATGCCGCTGCTCGCGGTGCAATTCGATATGCCGCGGTCGGGGTTGGTCACCTGCTCCGACGCTACGCTGAGGGGCTACGCCGTGCAGGAGGCGGACTTCCCGGTGTCTGAGGTAAAGCAAGTAGGGCGCTGGAGTGAACGCTGGCGCTTCAAGGTCGAGGGGGCCGGCCGTCCTCGGGATCGGGCATTGGGTGGCGCTCTGCCACTCGACGGACTTGAGGCTTTCGCTGAAAATGGAGAACACTACGACGACGACGTTGCCATTAGCATCAATCATCAGTTTCCTGAGCTACCAGCATCATTCACCAAGGAGGGGGTTAATTGGAGCACTATACAAGCGAGAAGGTATCACAGGAAGGAGGCAATCCACCTGAAGGAGTTGAGAGCGGTGTTATTTGGGTGGAGGCGCAAATGCAGACAAGCTAGACATCATCACAAGCATCATCTATTTCTGTGTGACAACATGGGCATGGTTCTGAGTCTGGAGAAGGGGCGAGCTGTATCTGTACCCGTACTCTTTCTGCTCAGGAAGTGGGCCGCGCTTTCTCTGGCCACCTTCTCTCGCACCTGTGTGAGGTGGATTGCGAGTGAGCTGAACCCCAGCGATGAGCCCAGCCGATGGTTCGACACGCCGGCGGAGAAGGCGGCGGCAGCTGCGTTGGGAGCCCACCGGCGCGAGGCTTGCGGAGAAGTGCCTGAGGCGTGTAGCAGCGCGTCCGGCGCCGGTTGGTGCAGGCGCGCCTGGCACCCCTCCGCCGTCGGCGGGCCGGCTCCCGAGAGACGGCTGCAGCGGCGGAGCGGCCCGGTGCCCGACGCTGTCGCGGGGCCATGGCAGAGTTGCGGCGGCCAGGGGTACCTCGACAGGGCGGCTGAGGCCGAGAGGCCTCCTCCCGCCTCCGGCGGCTGGAGCAAGGGACCGGGCTCTCGTGAGGATAGCTGGCACTGGTGGGCCGACCGTCCTGGAGCAGGAAAACGTGGCGGCGAAGACCACGGAGGACTGCGAGCGGAAGCGGGAGCGGTTCTTCGGCTTCTGCAGCATCAACGGCCTGGCGCTCGACACCCACCCGCTGCTCAGGGAGGCCCTGGTGGAGTACATGGACCTCCTGTTCGCGCAGGGGGGGCCCTGCAGCGGCGGGGCCAAGCTGCTGGCGGCAGTAGGCCATCGCTGGCCGAGGCTCCATCATGCCATGCGGTTGCTGAAGCTGCCGAGGGAGGCGAAGGCGCTGCAGGGCTGGCGGCATCTGTTGCCGCTGGTGATACGGGCGCCCGTGCTGTGGGCCGCCGTGGCGTCCATCGCGCTGGCATTGGTCAGGCGCAGGCAGCCGCTGGCGGCTCTGGCGGCGGTGCTTGCGGCGGACGCCTACCTTCGGCCAGGCGAGCTGCTGTCGCTCCAGGCCAACCGTGTGGTCCCAGCCCAGTCAGAGGCCGGAAGCGACTACCGCTTCGCGTCGCTGGAGCCGAAGCCAGAGGAGGAGCTGCTGCCGACCAAGACGAAGGGCTTCAACGACTCGATCCTGCTGGATGGCACGTCGAGGCGCGACCTGGGTGTGCTGGTGAAGCGGCTGGCGAGGCAGAAGAGCTTCTCGGCGGAGCTCCTCTTTCCGTGGTGGGCCGCGGTCTCCACTGCCATGTTCGAGCGCGCCGCGGCCGCGCAGAGGTACGAGAAAAGCTCGCGGGCGATGCGGCGCACGGCGACGCTGCAGCGGGACTACCAACTGCTGATGGCCAGTTCAACCAGCAGCCTCGAGGCAGGACTCAGGTTCAAGCACGACGTAAAGTTCGAGAGCAGATGCCACGACGCGGGTCTTGCGTGAGGCCCTTGTTTTTGGAATTGTTTTCGGGCAAGCGCGGCCTCTCTCAGGCCCTGGCTCGCAGAGGCTGGCGGTCGGCCACTTGGGACATTCGAGACTCACCTAAGCAAGACTTGTCAAAAGAAGCAGTAATTAGGCGCGCGTTGAAGTGCGTTCCCAGCGCAGGCTGGGTGCATCTCGGCACGCCATGCAGCAGTTTTTCGACAGCAAGGCGAGGCAAGCTTGGCAGTCCCGGGGCCCCCTCAGGTCCAAACTGTATCCTGGGGGCCTTCCTGAGCTTTTTGGCGTGGATGCGACCAAGGTGTCGGTCGGAAATCGTCTGGCCCAGGCCTCGGTCCGTATCATTCGAAGCTGCATCAGATTTAGCGTGCCTGTGTCTTTGGAGAACCCCAGGTCGTCTTGGCTGTGGCAGCAGCCAATTCTGGCCCCTCTGTTGCGAAAAGCTTGTCTGATCAATACTGTATATTGCAAATTCGGAACCCCATGGCGGAAAGCCACTACCATTGCCTGCTGGAATGCGGGTATCCCATGTGCGCTGGAGCCTCTGCGCGCAGAATGCAATGGTCCTCGCTGCAAATATTCTGGTGACCGCCATCAGGTCTTAGAAAGCAAAGCACCAGGAGGCAAGCTCTGGACGTTGGTCGCAGAGCCCTACCCTCCTCGCTTGGTTTCTTTGTGGGCGTCATGCGTCGACGCCGCTAGACGATGATGGGGGCCCCTCGCTTGGTGGCGCGGCGTGATGATAACGGCGCCTCGCTGCTGGGTGTCTCCGCGGTGTGCTTGCACTGTTGGGAATTTCGGCTGAAAAGTGCCGCCTCAACCGCCAGGTCGCTAGATTTTGGCGGATATCGGCAAGTTGGCCAGCTGGTCCTTTTTCTGTTGTCTCTCTGCTGCTGCCAGACAAGCCCGGCCGCAGCTGCAGCGAGAATAGCCTGGCCTTAGGAAAAGTGGAGCATGTAGCAACGTGTAACAGTGTGCAATGCTGAATGTTTCCGCTCTGGCCGCAACTGTCTGTGCTCAAGCGGTTTTCGAGCCCAACCACTCCACTTTGCGCCTCTCTCAGAGTGCTCTCGCACTACCGCAAGCTTGGCAGTCGCTGGAGGCAAGTTGGCCAGCTGGCCCTTTTTCTGTTGTCTCTCTGCTGCTGCCAGACAAGCCCGGCCGCAGCTGCAGCGAGAATAGCCTGGCCTTAGGAAAAATGGAGCATCAGCGTCCGCCCCCTCCCCTTGTTCAATATGTGCATACATGTGCATTCCGGTTTCTATTTCCCAACCATATTGTGGTTTGGGGTCTTCGTTTTGAAGAGACAGCGCCCCGCGTCTCACTCCTCCTTCCTCCTCCCTCTCCTCCTCTCCCCTTATCCCCTCCTGCCTCACTTTGGCACACCCCTCAAACCCTTCGTGGCCCCATAGGGAGCTCTACCGACGGCCTCAGTGGCTGCGCTTGCATGCGCCCACCGCGCTAATTTCGGCACACCCCTCACACGCTTCGCGGCTGCATCGCCAGCTCCACCGAAGGCGCCTCTGGCTGCGCTCGCATGCGCCCACCGCACCACGTTTGGCACACCCCTCACACGTTTCGTGGCCCCGTAGGGAGCTCCACCGACGGCTCCAGTGGCTGCGTTCGCACGCGCCCGCCGCACCAATTTCGGCACACCCCTCACACTTTTCGTGGCCCGACAGGGAGCTCCACCGACGGCCTCAGTGACTACGCTCGCATGCGCTCACCACACCCGTTTCGGTATAGCCCGCACGCGTTTCGTGCCCCCCATAGCCCCATCGATGGCCCTGGTGGCTGCGTTCGCATGTGCCCACAGCACCCATGTCGGCACACCCTCACGCGCTTCGTGGCCCCATAGGGAGCTCTACCGACGGCCCCAGTGGCTGCGTCCGCACGCGCCCACCTAATCAAAAAACACACGCTTCGTGGCTCCATAGGGAGCTCCACCGACAGCCCCATTGGCTGCGTTCGCATGCGCCCACCGCACCCATTTTGGCACACCCCACTCACCCGTCGTGGCCCCATGGGGAGCTGTACCGAAGGCGCCACTGGCTGCGTTTGCATGCGCCCGCCGCACCAATTTCGGCACACCCCTCACACGCTTCGTGGCCGCCCCATAGGGAGCTCCACCGAAGGCCCCAGTGTTTGCGTTCGCATGCGCCCACCGCGCCAAGTTTGGCACACCCCTCACGCGTTTCGTGGCCCCGTATGGAGCTCCACCGACGGCCCCAGTGGCACAGCCCAGAACCGATACTTTGCGTTTACCAAAGGGTCTGGGGCGTTTACTAACCAGCCCTGCCCTGTTCGATTCTTCGTTTGGGTGCTTTTACCAAACGGCTTCGCTAGACGGGCTGATTCTTACGAGGGTGGATTCTCTGCTCGCGTGCGCGCCGCGCGCGCGTGCCGCGCGCGAAGCCCGAGGCCGCCGACGGCGCGCCGCCGCCGCCGCCGGAGGATGGCGGCCTGGGCGCCCTGCCCGACGTCGACGGGCTGCTGGGCCCCGGCCTTGGTGCCCTGCTGCCGAAGGCGGGCGGGCGCCGCTGTGGGGCGCAGGGCCTGCCGGGGCACGGCCTTGGCATCGCTCGGACGTGGGCATTTTTCCTTCGGCGAGGACCATCGAGGAGCGTCCTTGATTATTTCGCGAAAGAACCACGCACGAAACCGAAAAAAACACAGGGAATGGACGTCCGAGCGATGGCCAGCGACCTGGAGGATGTTTTGGCGATCTCGTGGGCCGTTTTTGGTTTGGTTTCGTCTTGCGAGCAGAGGCGGGACGAGGGCAGGACGAGAGAGAGCGAAGGCAAGACGGAATCGGAAAAGACTTTTCAGATCGAGCCCTGGGGCCTGCATCGGCTACGCGTCAGGGTGGCTGCTCGCCGGAGTGACCTGTAGTGCGGGCTGGCTTGGATGGCCAGAGTAAAGGGGTTCCGCCAGCCCTGGCTGTCGCGCGGAGACGCCTTGCAGTTGGCTTCCCCAGCGCCCCCCCGAAAACCGCGCGCCAAAGGCCACCCTTGCCCAGGGTCACACTTGCGTGTGACCGACTGCACTGCTCGGGACAGGGGTCCCGACCTCCTTCTCTAGGCCTGCTTGCTGGAGTCATCGCCCCATCAGTTGGGAAGCTGGCAGTTTTCATCATCAGGTTCTCCAATCAGTGCTTGCAATGAAGGGGCCTTAGCGGATATTGAAAGATTTGGCGAAAGTTTTCCGCCGATGTTGGTAGCCGGCTGGGTTCCCGGGTTCCCGGTTCCCCGTTCCCGGGTTCCTGGTTATTGGTTCCGGGCCGATTTCGGTGGGTTCCGGGTTCCCGGGTTCCCGGTCGATCTCCTGATCGATGTTGTTATCGATCCCACGACTCATTTCCGATCCCACGATTCTTTACCCCACGATTCAAATTATCCACCGATTTGGGTTTTTTCTTTGGTGTCGTGGGGGGAACAAATGCTCCTGCGTGTGGCCGACGGCAGCTTGCACACAGGCAGCCCCGCGGGGAGGCAGCCCTGGCTGCGGGCCTCGCCCCCGCGTCGCCCCCGGGGGGGGCGTCCCGCGCCCATATTGGGGCTTGGGCGGCGAGGGCTTCCTTGGCATCCGGGCGGTGCAGCGTCTTTCGTACCGAGCCTTTTGGGAAGGCTTCGGGCCTCGGGGCCCTTCTAGGTCGACCTGGCTGAAGACAGGCTGCAGAACTCATTGTGATGGGCCAGCTTTCCACCACCACCACCACCACCACCACCACCACCACCACCACCACCATGAGTTGGAGGGGGGGTCCTCGTCCTCCTCCTCCTCCTCCTCCTCCTCCACCTCCTCCACCTCCTCCTCCTCCTCCTCGTCCTCAACCTCCTTCCCCCCTCCAACTTATGGTGGTGGTGGTGGAAACCATCAAATTCTAGACGCTTCGCGTATCCCTACCAGCCCGTCCAGAAACGACGCCCAGGCGAGTAGAGGGTCGTCCTGAGGGGCTTTTCGGCGTCTTGGGTGCCTCGGGGGGGCCTCTGTGGGCCGTTCGGGATCCTCTTTGGGGCCTCCTGGGGGCCTCTTGGGGCCTCTTGGGGCCATCTTGGGGCCTTTGGGGGCCTCCTGGGCGCTTCTTGGGGCCTCCTGGGCGCTTCTTGGGTGCCTCTGGGGGGTCTCTTGGGGCCTCTTGGGGGTCTCTTGGGGGCCTCCTGGGGGCCTCTTGGGGGGCCTCGGAGCCATCTTGGAGGAGATCGATCAACGAAGGGGGGTTCCCTAATTACAGTCCCCCCCTCAGGAGCCACGATCCTCGTGAGGGGTGTCGAATTTTAGCCCTCCCAGGGGTCGATCTTGGGCGCTCCAACGCGCCGCGGAACCCCCTGTCCAAGTCAGTGGGGAGGGGGTAGGGGGAGGGGTAAACCCCTCCCCGAAGGGGAAGAGGGAGGGGTGGAAGAGGAAACTCGTTAAACCACCGACGCCCAGAGGGCTGGTGGGATTGGTCTGGGGCTGCGGTCGTTATCTGGTCGCGACGCTGTAGCTGGATAGCAGCGTCGGATCTCGGGATTGCGCGCGGATGGCCCCTGGGAGGCAGCCCTGGCTGCCTGTCTCACCACCCCAGCGGCGCCCCCCCGAATTCCGATTTTCGTGATTTTTTGCCACGTTGTGGGCTTCCCTGAGGTCGGCGAGATTCAGTACTGTATTTCCGCACCAGGCGTTTTCGCTCGAATTTGGGGCTTTGGGACTCACAGACTGATGCGCTTCGAAAATCGCGGCAGAAAAACATTGGAATGGGCCTTAGGCCGCTATTTCTCGCGATGCTGTACTTGGATGCAGGACTACGCGCAGGGAGCCCCCTGGGAGGCAGCCCTGTCTGCCAGTCTCGCCACCCCCAGCGACGCCCTCCATGACTCCGACTTCTTGATTTTTGCCGCGCTGTGGGCTTCCAGATGTCTGGACCCCTTCCCTGGGACCGGTCTCTCGTCCCGAGCTGTTTGTGTTGGCAGTCCCTTGGCAAACGGGACAGCCCCAGGAGGCCGAAAACGACCAAGAATTGCCGTCGCCATGTTTCCACGACGAGAGGAGGGGGCGACCCTGGGGTGCCGCGCTCCCCGGTGGGCCTCTTGAAGCCAGCTGGGGCCAATCGGGGGCCCCCAAATACGGGGTGGTGACCACACCGTGTGGTGAATCGGTGGGGATCCCGGGTCGCCGCACGGTTTTGGGACTCGGGTCGTTCTCCGAGGACGTCTCGGGCGACTTGGGCATCCGAGGTCCCAAAACTCTGCGTTGACGGACCGTGCGGTGAGGTCTTGGGGTATTTCGAGGTCACCTCACGGTCTGTCACCGCACTGTTTCGGGACTCCACAGCTAACTCTGGGGGGCTGTCCCGTGCACGGCCCCCAGCCTTGCCGGTTATTTGCTTCCCCGCGCCCCAAAGGGCAAGCAACTAAATTTGGACCCTCGAATTCGCTACAGCCACGCCGAGCATCCGCGCTCCCATGCGGGGCGCTCCAGAAAGGCGTTGCTTTCGGGATCGAGAAGTTTGCATCTCTTCCTCAGCGGAAGGCTGGCGGAAGGCGGCGGAAGCAAACCGAGGGCGCCTCCGCCGGCGGAAGGCTGGCGGAAGCTGGCGACAGGAAACATCGTCCCCCAAAGAGATTATAATGTTGGGGGGTTCAGGGTCGGAGTCGGCCATATGGTTGCAAGGTAGATATGCTGGGAGTTCGTGTGTTGCTCGCCCGTGGGCACCCTGACATAGCTTGCATCACATCGAATACACGACACAGCTTTCATTACTGGCTCATCACATATGTTGATCCACGTAGCGTGCTCAACATAGCTTGCACCACGTGTGGATGCACCACATATGTTGGCATCACATAGCTTGTATCACACATATTGTTGACGCTTCGCGCATCCCCACCAGCCCATTCAGAAATGATGCCAAGGGGAGTTGAGGTGATCAGGGAAGGGGGGGAGCATGCAGAAGAACAAAGGGCGGGGTAAGCCGTCATATACCCCAACAGGGGGAGGATGGAGGGGGAATCGTCGTCGTCGTCGTCGGAGGAGGAGGAGGAGGAGCAGGAGGAGGGGGGAGGAGGAGGAGGAGGAGGAGGAGGAGGAGGAGGAGGAGGAGGAGGAGGAGAAGGAGGTGGAGTAGGGCGAGGACGAGGACTGACGAGAAGGAGGAGAAGGAGGGAGAGTTGGATACCTCGGGGATCCTCTTGAGGCCTCGTATGGGGTCTCTTGGGAGCATCTTGGAGGCCTCTTGTAGCCGTCTGTGCGCCTCTTAGGGACCACTTGGGGCGCTCTTGGGAGCTTCAGGGGCGCTCTTGGGGCCATCTTGGAGGACATCGATCAAAAAAAGAGGGGAGCTCCAATTACCCTCCCCCGATCGGGAGAACATCGCCTCCTGTACCCATCTTGGAGCACTCTTGGGCGCTCTTGGGGCCGTCGTGGGGCTCTCTTGGGCCTCTCATGGGGCTCTCTTGGGCCATCTTGGAGCCATCTTGAGGCCTCGGATGGCCATCGGAAGTGGAAAGGCGAGGCGAGAAAGCAACCATCATTTATTATCAGGTTTTTGATGGATTTGGGCTTCTTGGGGGCCTCCTTGGAGGTCTCGGAGGCATCTTGGAGCCGTCTTGGAACGTCCTTGGGGCCTCTTGGAGCATCTTGGGAGCAATCTTGATGCATCGTGTGCTATCTTGAGCCATCTTGGAGCTCATCTGGGACTCTCAGGGGCCCTCTTGGAGCTGTATTGGGCCATCTTGGACGCTCCAACGCCTCGCCGACCCCCCCCCCGTCCAGGTCCAGGGGAAGGGGTAGGGGGAGGTGTCAAGACCCCCTCTCCCCGCCCGCAAGCCGTCTCGCTCACTCCCACCCGCCCTCCCAACACATACGTAGCACCCAAGTCTGGCCCGAGCCTGAGCATATTCAGCAGTCGTCTTTGGATGGGCAGCTACTGGGGGCCAATCCGCCGCCGCCGCCGCCGCCGGCCGCCGCCGCCGCCGCCGCCGCCGCAGCCGCTGCCGCCACCGCCGCCGCCGCCGCCGCCGCCGTCGCCGCCGCCCCCCGCTGCCAAACCGCCGCAGCCGCTGCCGCCACCGCCACCGCCACCGCCGCCGCCGCCGCCGCCGCGCGCCGCAGCCGCCGCCGCCGCAGCCGCCGCAGCCGCCGCCGCGCCAAAGTGTACTATGTATTGTTTTTTTGACAGGGATGGCGTGGGGGGGGGGCCGCATCGGGTTGGCTGCTGCGCATTGCCGAATTTGGAGGCAGAGTGTGGTTTGCATTGTTTTTTGCAAGGAATCGTGGGGGGGGGTTGTCATGGACCCTTGTTGGCCCCCAGTTGCCTGGGGGAGGGGGTGTTTATCAATAGGGAACAGTGATCCAACTACCCACTCGCCCGCAAGCCGTCTAGCTCACTCCCACCCGCCCTCCCAACAAATAAGTGAAACTCGAGCCTGAGCATGGTCAGCGGTCGTCTTTAAATGGGCAGCCGCTGGGAACCAAAACCGGGCCCACGTGCGCGACGCGTGGGCGAGGTGCGCCATGCGTGCCAGGCGCGCCACGCGCGCCAGGCA